TGCTTTCTATATACAAGGCACTGTACTAAGCATCTTAAATGCATTACCTCATTTATTCCTTATATCAAGACCCGGTGTGATTAACGGTTATTTATCCTGTCTTATAAACGAGGAAGACACAGACTTAGGAACCTCCCCAAGGCCACAGCTGTAAGAGGTAGAGCCATAATAGAAGATCATATTTGGGGAGGAAAGCAGCAAGAGCTCTGTAACAATTATTCATCTCTCACCAGTCTGCCAGTGTTCTTTGAGGGAGACAGCAAGTGGGTGGGAAAGAGGGACCCAGCGGAAATAACTTACTAACAAAGGTCTCTTTCTTTGGTGATTGTTTTGTATTTAAATATAAAATCAAACAGCTAAATTACTGCAGGTTTAGGGAACATACTGTAGTAAAACGCCAATATTTAGAAATGTGAAAAGTAGAGTTTTTAAAAGCTGAGTACTGAAGCTGGTCTTGTTTATCATTTTTAGAAATAGTCTGGAAAAAGGAAATCCAGAAAGCCTTAAGTATTCAGAAGACTGAATTTCTTCTGAGATTGGAGCATTAGGTTGATTGGAAGGTTGCACATACAAAGAGTGAGCAAAACCACAAAAGAAAAGCTTCAGTGGAGTTGATTTTAAAGAAAATATACCCGGAACATATTTTTAAGATGATGGTGGCCTCTTAGCTGTGTTAACAATGACCTAGAAGGAGATCTTGTAGATGTTTTAGATTGTGTCTATTCACTTCCTTTGTCCCCTCCTACCATCTCCAGGCCTTTTTAACCTTCTTTTCCCAGAAATCCCAGGTGTCACCAGAGAGCATACTTGAAGCAAAATGGAAAGTCTGTTCACCTTTAGTAGAAAACATTAGCAGAGTTCTAACTACTGTGCATAAAGAATAAAACATAATGGAACTAGACAAAGGTCAATAATGGTAATTAAAGTAGTTGAGGAAATATATATGGGCGGGGGACTTCAACCCTTACCTCATAGGATACACAAAAAAGAATTTGAGATCGATCATAAACCTAAATGTTAAAACTATAAAGCTTCTAGAAGAAAACATATTTTTGCAACCCTGGGATAAGCAAAGATTTCTTATGACATAGAAAGTGCTAACCACAAAAAAGTAGACTTCCAAAGTTTAAAAACTTCTGCTCAAATACATTAAGAAAATAAACGGGCAAGTCACAGACTGGCAGAAAATATTTGCAATATATATATCTGACAAAGAACTTGTTTCCAGAACATATAAAGAACTTCAACAACTCAATTTAAAATAAAAAAAAAAAAAAAAAACCTCAAAAAAGTGGGCAAAAGATTTAAACAGATACTTCACAAAGGAGGATATCCAGGTGTTTAATAAGTATATAAGAATATGCTTAGTATTATTACTCATCAGAGAAATGCAAATTAAAACCTCCATGAGATAACTTACTACATAGCCCCTAGCGTGGCTAAAAAGGCTGAGGACACAAAATGAAATCCTAGAGTGGTGCAAAGGGTTAACACACTCAGCTGCTAACTGAAAGGTTGTAGGTTTGAATCCACCCAAAGGAGCCTTGGAAGAAAGGCCTGGTGATCTACTTCCCAGAAATTAGCCATTGAAAATCCTATGGAGCACACAATTCTACTCTGACACACATGGCGTCACCATGAGTCAGAGTTGATTCAATAGCAACTGGTTTTGGTTTCTAATAAACATACACCCGCCCTGTGACCCAGCCATTCTGCTCCTAGGTATTTAACATTTGCCCTCAAAAAAGACTTGTACAAGAATGTTCCTGGCAACTTTACTCATAATAGCCCCAAATTAAAAATAACCCAAATTCCTATCAACAGGAGCATGGGTCAGCAATTTGGTATATCCATTCAGTGGTTCAGTCCACCAACCCTTTGGTTAGTAGCTGAGCATTTAACCATTTGTGTCACTGTCTTAGTCATTTAGGGCGGCTATAGCGGAAATACCACAAGCGGATAGCTTTAACAAAGATGTTTATTCTCTCATGGTCTGGTAGGCTAGATGTCCAAATTCAGGGTGCCAGCTCCAGGGAAAGGCTTTCTTTTTCTGTCGGCTCTGGGAGAAGGTCCTTTGTCATCAATCCTCCCTTGGTCTAGTAGCTTCTCTGCTCAGGGAACCCAGGTCCAAAGGACATGCTCTGCTCCTGGCACTACTTTCTTGTTGGTATGAGGTCCCCATGTGTCTCTGCTCACTTCTCTCTTTTATATCTCAAAAGAGATTGGCTTAAGACACTATCCAATCTTATAGATCTCATCAGTGTAACTGCCAGTAATCCATCTCATTAACATCAGAGTGATAGAATTTACAACACATAGGGAAATCACATCGGTGACAAATTGGTAGACAGTCATACAATACTGGGAATCATGACCTAGCCAAGTTGACAGAAATTTTGGGGGGACATAATCCATGACAGCCACCCAGGGATTCCTTGGAAAGGGAATTTAGTTTTTATTATGTACCGTTGAGTCGATTCCGACTCATAGTGACCCTATAGAACAGATTAGAACTGCCCCATAGGGTTTTCTATGCTATAATCTTTATGGGAGCAGATCACCAGGTCTTTTCTCCTCCGGAGCAGCTGGTGGGTTTGAACTGCTGACCTTTCATTTAACAGCTGTACACTTTAACAATTGTGCCACTAGAGCTCCTGGAAAGGGATTAGACTTTTATTGTTAAGTTTACATTGGCTGTTCTGGTACATGTTGGAGAATTTGGTGTCAGTCCGCTTACTTTCTGGGTTTCATAGGTGAAGAGATTTTCATTCTCTCATTCTGGGATTATAGAGGAATTAGAATTTATGGAGGACTTTGGGAAATGCTGGATTACGTGATTTTCTAAAGTGTGTGCCATTAAACATTAATCCTGAAAGGGTTTCTTAAAAAAAAAAAAAAGGTTCTGAGGCCAAATACATTTGGGAAGACTCTGCATACTCAGTCTCCATAGAGTCTCATAGTGTGTTCCGATCTTGATCATTGCAATATTGTTGTAATAGTTAAGCTAGAAACAACTTAAATATTTGTAGATAGGAAAACCAACATGGTACCATAGAATACTACACAATAGTTAGGAATGAACTACATCTCTGTCTTCCAGCATTAAGTTAGAAAAATATATTATAGAATGAGAATGATGCATAAGTATATAGCTTGTGAATTTTAAAAAAACCATATGCTTTCACCAGTATATCTGTGTAGTATAAATGCATTTTTATAATTTTACAAGTAGAGATAGTTCCTTGGAGAGGTGACTGGGATTTGGGGTGATGAACAAAGGGTCCTTTTTTGCCTTACCTGTAATGTTTAAATGTTTTTAGAAGGGAATATTTTTGTGTATTATTTACAGTAAAAACTAAATATGAATAAAATGCCTATTAAGTGCTCAGAAAGTTACTTTCTTTTCCCTCATTGGAGATATCTATCTGTCCTGCTAAGTTCCAAGTACTTCTTCCCATTTATTAATTCACTGTATACACGTTAAACTGAGTTTTGGCCCTTGGTCCTACAGAGTAGGAAGGAAATACTTTCATTATATTCCATTATAACGAGACTGTTTTTCGAACATCGTAAAGATCAATGAAATAACTTTATACAGTCTAAATCAGTGCAAGTTCTCAGGAGACAGGCTTATTCAAGCTTGTTGTATATTGGTCAAAGAGATCGTTTGAAGAGCAACAAAGAGAAGTTTGAGCTTGGTTCCTTAGCAGCTAGTGAAGAGTCGAGAAGCAGTAGCAGTAACTGTAGGTAGAGTAGAACATTATGGTTCAAAACCAGTTGTGGTTCAAGAAGCAGACCCCCTCTGTGTTGGTAATGCTCTTTCCAGTTCCATGGACCTTCTTCTTTATCCTCTTCTCTGGAATTGATTTTTACAACTTTAGAGTCAGACTTGAGGGCAGTGGTGTTCTGTTTGACTTTACCAGTTTCTGGAGATCAATTGTAAGTTCCTGGCATTTTTTTTTTTGTAATGTAAACATGTTTTTGTCTTTAAGAAAGGGTAAGCCTAAAACAGCTGTAGCCATATATCAGGTTTTCTATCAGAACATTCACTTTATTCCCTCAATTTGTCTTAGGTTGTAAGTGACATTGACCGAAAATAAAGATCTCATCAGCTGAAAATATTTCTTCTTTAAATTGATTTGTTTACAGGCACACGTACTGATCCATCTTTTTAAAGTGGTCATTTTTATATTTCATCCAAGTTAAACAGCCCCATAAAATAGCTCTCTTATTCTTAGGCACTAAACTGATCAATCAACTTTATGCTAAAAAATATTCTAATACAGGTTATGAACAAATTAAAAATGTAATTCACATTACAGATGTTTTTGGCACCTACTACATGCTAGGCATGTCAGGAAATCCAGAGTATGAAAACATGTTACTGCCCTTGGTGACCTTACTGCTTCCTAAAGTGGTGTTAAGCATGCAACCCACATGCATAAGAATTACTGGTGATTTAGGATGTCTTCCACCAGAACACCAACTGGAAATTAGTATGGTACTAACTATGAAAGTGCTAAGTAAAGTGAACTTCAGATATGCTTTGAGTAGTTGAGCAGCCTCAGAAGGAAAGGTTGCAGGGTGTGATTATCCGGAAGAGAGGTATGAGGCCTCCTGTGTGGCTCCTCCATTCTGCCTAATCAGACAGTGGTTTGCACATGGCAGTCACTGTGTGTTGTTCGTGATGATCAGGTGCTGCTTGGGGGAGAGGTGACATGGTTAGCCTTACAGCCACTTACATCCTGGTGTGATTTTGGGGTGGAGAGTTGAGCTACAGAAAGTAAAAGAAAATGGAAGATAAAAAGGAAAAGTTGCACATTACAAGTCAAATTTTGCTTTTTTCTTTTTTTTTTAAAGCACAGGTGACTTCTAGTTTCCACTCTGATATTAGTATTATGGTTGTGATTGTTTTTATTTTCCTCATGCTTAATTACTGCAAGAGTGTATGTGTCAGTCTTTAAAAAAAAGGGGGAAGGTTTTTTTATTGAACAATTGGACTCTTTCTCCCCCCGCCCCCCTACCTTGTGTCTCTGGCATAAACACCACCATATTATTGCACCACCATTTAATATGTAGAATTGATCATGAATATGACCACAGTCAGTAGATTTGATGTCTGTTTATGGATAAAGCTTAAAATTGTTCCCTGACAATACATTAATCAGGAGCCCTGGTGGTGCAGTGTTTAAGCGCTTGGCTGTACACCACAAGATCGCCAGTTCAAACCCACAAATGGCTCTGTGGGAGAAAAGACCCAGCAATCTGCTCCTGTAAAGATTCCAGCATAGGAAACCCTATGGGGCAGTTCTCCTCCATCCGGCAGGGTCACTGTAAGTCGGAATTGACTTGATGGCACACAAAAACAACACATTTATCAACATTCTTGGTACTTTAGTAAAGATTCCTTTTAAATCAGTCCAATTCCTCTCAATATAAAATCACAAAAATGTTTTAAGATTCCCATTTCTCTTGAGAACAAGAATGAGAGCCGTCCTTGTCAGTTCTCTAATTCAGCCTTCATGCCACAGAAGTCCTTGGAAACCTGTTTTGGGAGAGCTGTAAATCATATTCTTGTCTTCCAGGACTTATCTGTGGTCAAGCAGACAGTTCAGGATACAGAGTCCAAGGATGAATGTTCACCGTGCCAGTGATGGTGACAGGTTATTGCGGCAGGACGCCAGCTGCCTAGTGGATGATACTTCAACTGCAACTCAAGAAAGAGAAGCAAGTAGCCTGGCTTCATCTGGTCTTCAGAATCTGACTTACCCCTCAGGTCCCAGGAGTGATGGTAAGATGATTAGGTCTTGACATAATTTGGGGGGCTTTCTGACACCTAAGCATCCACTCTACCCAGAAGGCATGGATGTACTTAATCTAAATAAATTATCCAGTTAATTGGCATCACAGTTAAATAAAGCTGACCATCATAGAACATCTCCAGTTATTTAATCAGTTCAGCACATTTAACTTGGTGATAATGGTATAAGAGAAACAGCAACAGGTTTGAAGTCAGAAGACAGATTCAAATTCTAGCTCTGCCACATATTAGCTGTAACCATGGATGGGATCTTTAATCTTTCTGAGCCCTGCTTTCCTAATCTAGAAAACAGATACTAATATTCTTCCTAATCCACAAGGCTAGTGGATTAATGAGTTAATGGATGTGAAAACTCTTGACAAATGGCTAGGTTCTTTTTTAACTTTTAATAAAAACAATAGGAACAATAAAATAGCAAGTATTTATTGAGCACTCATTGTGCTAGGAACTTTACATACATTTCTTTATATCAGGATGGCAAACTATGGCCCATGGGTCAAATCTGGCCCACTCCGTTTTTCTAAATAAAATTTTTATTGGAACACAACCACGCCCATTTGTTTACATACTGTGTATTGGCTGCTTTCCTAGTTATTATGGTAGAGTTGACCCGCAAAGCCTAAAATATTTACCTTTTGGCCTTTTATGGCAACTTTGCTGATCCATACACTAATCCTCATAAAGGAAGCTGAGGCTGAGAAAGCGTAGGTAACTTGCTCAGGTTCACATTATTAGGATGTAAGGGACTGGGATTTGAATCTGTTTTTCTGACCAGGCTGTGCTTTATTATTTTATCTGTATAAACTGACAAAAAAGCAGAGTGTGACTGCCACCCTAGAGTACACCATTAGGGAGAACTTGGGCAGTGAATCTTTTCCTGCTCACCCATTTAAGTTGAGTAGAACCTGAGGCGCCCTTCAGGCATCAAACCCAATTTAATTGCTTCATTGTTGGGGAGAAATCAAGCATGCTATAAAGAACTGAACATCATAGACATTAGGATTTACAACACATTGGATAATTACATCAGATCACATAATGGAGGACAGCCACACAATACTGGAAATCATGGCCTAGCCAAGTTGACACACATTTTTTTGGAGACACAATTCAATCCGTAATGTTCCTGAATAATTGTATATAAATTTAAAATACATGAGGGGTGGGAGTGATACATTCAGCTATATCTTTAACATTTTATTTCTTTAAAAAAGAAAGGTTTGAAGGATATTTAGAAAAATGTTAACTAAGCTTACCAAATCTAGGTGATGGGACATGGATTTATATTAAGTCTGTGCTTCTGTATGTTTGAAATTTTCATTAATTTTTTTTTTCATTAAAATGTGTTAGGAGCACTTCCTGTTTAAAAGAATCCTGTGGTAAATCCTTTTGTAAATACTTGCTCCTTATTGTCTTACATGTACATCTAGATTTCATATATTTAGTTTTAAGCCAGTTTTGTATCATGTGGTTTTATACATTTTTAAGTGTTCTCACACACCTTATTTCAGTTGATAGTCAACAACCCTGTGAGGTAAGTGGAGTGAACATTATTGTTCTTTGTTTTACAGGTGATGAGCCAGGTTCAGAAAAATTAAATAAATTGGTTAAAGAAAACGGCTTTTTGGTGACACTAGAACAAAAACTGAGATTCCATGAGTGAATCCTAATCCAGGGTCATTTGCACCAGGCTTCTCTGCTGAGAGCAAGACCTGCTTGTTCTAAAAATGGTGTAGTGAATTGGATTCTTCAGTGCATAGTGAAAATGAATTTTTCTGTGAATTTCTAGGAAAAAATTTGGAGACTATAGAAATGAAAAGCTTTGGCACACAGAGGTAGCACGCTTCTTAAATAAAACACGGGAAATATAAGAGTATTATTTAGAGGTAGGAGCCCTGGTGGCACAATGGTTAAGCACTTGACTTCGAACCCACCAGCCACTCCATGGGAGAAAGATAATAGCAGTCTGCTTCCATAAAGAATTAGACAAGGAATCCCTATGAACCAGTTCTGCTCTGTCCTAAAGGGTCACTGTGAGTTGGAATCAACCCAGTGGCACACAACAAAAACAACAATTTAGAGGTAGAAGTGAAAACAGAAGTGAAAAATGATTGATTCTTTGGAACAAGACTTGAAGAGTTATGGGGCGTGGCAGAGGACTGCTGTTTTTCTACATGTATTTTTTCTTACTGTTTGATTTTTTTTTTTAAACCATGTGAGTAGTTTAAATGTTTTAATCATTTTATTTTTAAAGTGTGGGCATTCCTGCCTTTGATCTCTCCCCCAAACACACAAACATACATGGAAAAAAGTGTAGGGGGTCCAGTATATGAATCTCTAGTTTGTATTTTTATCTTTACTTGCTCCAGGCAAGAGTTTTTGTCTGTGAACACTTGAAAGTTTGTTTTTTTAAAAAATTTGTTTACTTATTTAGTTTTTTAAACAGAGTTTATTTTTCCCCCAAGTCTTTTTGCTCTCAAATTATTTTGGTTTGTTTGTGTGCTCTTTCAGACCTTTCACTTGACTATGCCTCTCAGCCAGCACATCTTCAGTTCCCTCACATAATGCCACTTCCCGAAGACATCAAAGGCTCTTGTTTCCAAACTGGGAATAAACGGAACCATGAACCCTTTATTGCTCCAGAACGATTTGGAAACAGCAGTGTGGGTTTTGGCAGTAACTCCCATTTGCAAGCGCCAGAGAAAGTGACGCTTCTTGTAGATGGCACACGTTTTGTTGTGAATCCACAAATTTTTACTGCTCATCCAGATACCATGTTGGGAAGGTAATTGACAATAATTTCCTTCCAGTTTCACTCTTTTCTCTAGAATGCATAGCTATACCTGCTGTTTATCTTGTATCATATGTGAGAATAAAAAGCACTGCGTTTGTGAGAAAGGGAGGGCAAGCTGGTAAGTGTATATGTGTTGGTGATGTTTTTTATTTTTTAATATTTTATACTACTTTGCTTACAAAGCTATTATAATGAAATGAGCCCCCACAAAAGGAAGTAAAATCTGGTTAGAACTATGGAAAATAACTTGCTGAATCTCTTTCCCTACTCCTCTATAAACTCACTCTAAAACAGAAGTCAGATATTTAAAATTTCTTTTATTCACAATTTGTATAATCTCACAAAAGTAATAATGTTTTCTGAGTTCTGCAGGTCTAAGGTGCTGGGATAAGGTGAGACCTAAGTCGGGGTTTTTTTGTTTGTTTTTTAATAAAAAATAGAATTAGATAAATGTTCCACATGATACAGGGGAAAGCTACACAGGAGAAAATCTAAGTAGACTCTTACCTACTTAGATTTTATTTTACTTCAAGATCTGACCTCTATTAGGAGCCCTGGTGGCGCAGTGGTTAAGCGTTCAGCTGCTAACCAAAAGGTCAGCAATTCAAATCCACCAGCTGCTCCTTGGAGACCCTATGGGGCAGTTCTACTCTGTCCTGTAGTGTCGCTGTGAGTCGGAATTGACTCGACGGCAGTAGTTCTGTAACCTCTGTCAGGACTTTGAACTAATTTGAACTGAATTAGAAATCAGAATGAATTACCAGTTTGCCAAATTCTAGTATAAATGGAATTCAGCTATTTTGTTCTGAATATACATATAAAATTCACAACAATTTTTAACCAGAACCAAACCTATATATTTCTCAAACATGTAAATTAAGATGACACTGGAATAAGGAAGCATTTTCCACATCAGCCCTATATTTTATCAAGCTTAACTTCTTTCCTTAGTCTTGATACCACCACCACCACTATTGGCTCCCCAGAAAGTGTTCCTCAGTGTAGGCTGGCTGAGGTACATTGCCTCTGAAAGTAGTGATCAAGAGTAGAAAGGCTAACGTGTTCCAGGTAACAGATTCTTGGGTGATACCTGGGTTCTTTGGATTTAGGAAGGGTTGTCACCTGAAGAAGAGAGTCTGACTATTTAGGTGGTTCATTCAGCTGAGGAGGCCAAGGTCATGAGTTCTGTGAGTTATTTAGGTTTGTTCTGTCCTGTGGCTACATAGAGTAGCCAATGAGCTTACAGATGTGGGCCACTAGTCACAAAGGGGACGAGCTGAGAGAATTTGAATGAATTAATACAAATTCATGTCACTACTAGATAAACAACTCTTGAGAGTAAGTCCTGCTGATGATAGATGGGGGACTATATGTATGGCACTTTGTTCATTACTCTGATTCACAGCTGTCTCAGCTAGACTTCATCCAGAGTGTTCCAGAAAAATGTCAACATTCTTTGAAGACTCCTTTCATCAAAATGGATATCTTATGCCTGGTGCAATGATTTGGAAAGCATGTGATTTGGGAATCTTTTACAGACCTTTGAAAGGCAGCCAGTTCAGAGTAGAAGATAACAGTTGGCAACAGTTGAGCAACAGGGCTTGCCAGCAGGTTAAGGAAGGAAATGTTAGTGAGTCTCCTTTGGGAAATCAAATCAGGCTGGCTAAAGATACCTGACTGCATGCCCTCTTCTTTGTGCCAGCATCCCATCCACAACTCCTACACAGAGTGGAATAGGAATAGTGGAAGTTATAGGGCCAGTTAGACTGGAGGGGATATGAGAGAAGAGAGGAAGGATGGGAAGGGGTGAATAAGAAAAGGTAAGACTTCCTCCCTGTGCCTTCATGACCTCATGAGTTCATGCCAGAGCAGGCTTGCTTCTCTGAAATCTGTCACACTGCTGGTCAGCCTAATACCGACCTACTTTTTCTACTTGACCTGAAATTTCCATCATTAGAATTACTTTTTAGATTGAATAAGGGGAACTTTTTCCAGAGCTCCACCATTAAGATGTACCAGGAACCTAAATAAAAAGCCAAAAACTATAAAGTTCATAGAAGAAAAAAAAGGATCAATGCTAGAGGCCCTGATACACAGCATTAAAAGGATACAAACCATAACCAACAACACACAAACTCCAGAAGATAAGCTAGATAACTGGGATCTTCTAAAAATTAAACACTTGTGCTCATCAAAAGACTTCACCAAAAGAGTAGAAAGAGAACCTACAGACTAGGAAAAAATTTTTGGCTATTACAAATCAAACAAAGGTCTCATCTCTAAAATCTACAGGAAAATCCAACACCTCTACAACAAAAAGACAAACAATCCCATTAAAAAATGGACAAAGGAAATGAAAGACAACTTCACCAAAGAAGACATTAAAGCGGCCAGCAGACACATGAGGGAATGCTCACGATCACCAGCCATTAGAGAAATGTAAATCAAAACCACAATGAGAGACCATCTCACCACGGCATTACTGGCACAAATCAAAAAAACAGAAAATAACAAATGTTGGAGAGGCCGCGGGGAGATTGGAACTCTTATGCACTGCTGGTGGGAATGCAAAATGATACACCGTTTTGGAAAACGACATGGTGCTTCCTTAGAAAGCTAGAAATAGAAATACCATGTGATCCAGCAATCCCACTCCTAGGAATATATGCTAGAGAAATAAAAGCCACCACACAATAGACATATGCACACCCATGTTCATGGCAGCATTGTTCACAATAGCAAAAAGATGGAAACAACCTAGATGCCCATCAACAGATGAATGGATGAACTATGTTACACAATAGAGTACTACGCAATGATAAAGAACAATGATGTATCTGTGAAGCATCTCATAACATGGATGAAACTGGAGGGCATTATGCTGAATGAAATAAGTCAATCACAAAAGGACAAGTATTGTATGAGACCTCTACTATAAAAACTAATGAAAAGGTTTACACACAAAAAGAAACAATCTTTGATGGTTACAAGGGAGGGGAGGGGTGGGGGTGGAAAAACCCTAAATAGACAATAAGTAAGTGGTAACTTTGGTGAAGGGTGAGACAGTACATGATACTGAGGAAGCCAGCACGACTTGTACAAGGCAAGGTCACAGAAGCTCCATAGACACATCCAAACTCCCTGAGAGACTGAATTGCTGGGCTAAGGGCTATGGGGACCATGGTCTCGGGGAACTTCTAGCTCAAGTGGTATAACATAGTTTATAAAGAAAATGTTCTACATTCTACTTTCGTGAGTAGCGTCTGGGGTCTTAAAAGCCTGTGAGTGGCCACCTAAGATACTCCACTGGTTTCACCCCTTTGGGAGCAAGGGAGAATGAAGAAAACTAAAGATACAAGAGAAAGACTAGTCCAAAGGACTAAGGGACCACAACTACCACGACCTCCACCAGACTGAGTCCAGTACAACTAGATGGTGCCCGGCTACCACTGCTGACTGCAATCACAATAGAGGGTCCTGGACAGAGCTGGAGAAAATGTAGAACAAAATTCTAACTCACAAAAAAAGGACCAGATTTACTGGCCTGACAGAGACTGGAGAAACCCCAAGAGTATGGCCCCCAGACACCCTTTTAGCTCAGTAATGAAGTCAATCCAGTGGTTCATCCTTCAGCCAAAGATTAGACAGACCCATAAAACAAAATGAGACTAAAGGGCAAAACAACCCAGGGGCAAGGACTAGAAGGCAAGAGGGGACAGGAAAGCTGGTAATAGGGAACCCAGGGTGGAGAAGGGAGATTGTGACATGTCGTGGGATTGTTAACCAGTGTCAGAAAACAATATGTGTACTAACTGTTCAATGAGAAACTAGTTCTGTAAACTTTTTCATCTGAAGTACAATTCAAAAAAAAAGTACCAGGAAAGGGAAAGCATTAACTTATCTGCACCTATGAATACAGATTTCATCTACCAAATTAGAGGTTGAAAAGCAAAACTCAGAAATATTGAGGAATGGCATACTGGATAGGTAAATGTTGATGGAGGCAAGGGAGGGAACAGGAAAGGTCAGGTGCATGAGAATGAGCTCTCACAATGCACAGGCAGGTTCCTGGGCCGTGGGGAGGGTATGAAAGGCAACATCACACACTCCATCGATTTTCCAAGGGCTAGCTCTGCGGCTGCTGTCTTACTACATCTGCTGTCAAAGAAACTCACTACAGGTGAACCTTGAGGACTTGTTGCTTCATTCCTCCTTGTATACAAATACTTAAAGCAATTGCCAGCTTCTTCTCTTATCTAAAAGGAGTTTCCCTAAGACTTGAATATGTCTAGTAGGGGTTGGGTCCCTGTGCTGTGTTTTAACTTACATTGTGAGGCAGTGAAGTCTTTAGAATGAGGTGGCAGGAGAGAAGTCTCATCTGTGAAGGGTCCTGCTGGAGAAGGTAACTTTGTTGCCTGTGTCTCTTTCAGGATGTTTGGACCAGGAAGAGAGTACAACTTTACACGGCCCAATGAGAAGGGAGAGTATGAGATTGCTGAAGGAATCAGTGCAACTGTATTTCGCACGGTGCTGGTGTGTAGTGGTCGTTTTTTGTTATGTCCTCTTCCCCAAGGCATGCATGGTCAGCAGCCTTGAGTCCCTTCAAACCGTGTGACTGACATTAGGGTCCCTGGTTTCTGGTTGTTGCCTTTCGCTCTTTATTTCCTGCTTCTGTAACCTTGTCCTTGCTTCTCTCAGTCAGGTGCCAAGTTGTAATTCAACATGTCAGGATAGCCAGGAGCCTCTTTACCATTTAATTAATTACCCAATTTGGTGATGATCCCAGTAACCCATCACTCTAACAGAATCAAGACTGAATTAGGGTAGAAGAGGTAATTTTTCATCTTGTTCTTTGCCTACATTTCTTCTTCCTAATCTGTTTACAGGATTACTACAAAACTGGTATCATCAATTGTCCTGATGGCATCTCTATTCCAGACCTTAGAGATACATGTGATTATCTCTGTATTAACTTTGACTTCAACACCATCCGATGTCAAGACCTGAGTAAGTACAGGAGGACCTGCCAGCAGCATTTACTTTGAATTTGCTTGGAATTGACTAATGTTTTTATTACTAAACAGGACCTTCAAGTGTGGGTTGAAAATCACCTGCAAAGGCAGAGACGTGATACTAATTATGGGAATCCATTCTTCCTCTTGCCTCAAAATACTGAGAAATTGGAGTATACAGAAGAGAAGAGGCAGAAGATCTTAAATCTAGGTTGACTGCTAAGTCGCCAAGCTAATTGCTTTCCCTCTCAGGATCTTGGTGTCTGTCATTCAACTATTTAACAGACAAGGATACTGATTCTGAGACGTAAGGAAAGGCTCACTAATAAAATCAAACTATAAATTGTCTGGGTTCTTCTTACCATTTTTATCATCATTTATTAACTTAGTGTTTATAGATAGGGACTTGCCTAAATCTTACAACAGTTAACCAGGAAGCATGGGTAGTGATATCATTTAACAAATAAGAAGACTGGGAAATTGTCTTGCTCTCAAGTCTCTGAGCATTAAGGCTGGGTTTAGAACTCAGATTGACTATAAACTTCATGCTCTTGTCACTGTCTAAACTTCCTGAAACTATTTAACATATTATTCTTTGAAGCTGTTATTGTTAGGTGCTGTCAGGTTGATTCTGACTCATAGTGACCCCATGTGACAGAGTAGATCGCCCCTGGTGTTTTCTTGGCTGTAATCTTAATGGAAGCAGATTGCCAAGTCTTTCTCCTGTGGAGCCACTGGTTGGGTTTGAACCACCAACCTTTAGGTTAGCAGCCGAGTGCTTAACCGTTTGCACCATCTGGGCTCTTTATTCTTTGAAGTACATGAAGCATTTTCTTACATGTTCCATGAAGGCCTCTGGACTTGTGATTTCTCTCCTTGGCCTGGCACACACTTAGAGCAAGCTCCTTAGTGTCTCCAAACTAAGGTTATTCCTCTACTGTGGCCCTCTACCTACTGAAATCAGGGTCCAGAGCATCCTCAGAAGAGGTACTACAAAGAGTCATCCCCAAATGATGGTTCTGTCTCTTGTAGAATTAATATACTTATGGTCTGAGGCTGTATGCCCAATAAAACCTCAGTTGATCAGAGTGCTTAGGGATTATTAAACCTGAGTAAGGTGAAGAGTGGTAGAATACGAAACATCTAACAAAGTCAGCTTAATTATCACCTTGGAGCAGGAAACAATCTCTCTGCCTTTATACAGGCTACTTCTCTGGGCCCTGTCCATGATAACATATATTACCTCATAGTCTTTTTTCACTTCAGTAACGTGCATTTGGGCAGAAAGGATGTTCACGTGCATTTTCTCTCACCAGGTGCTTTACTGCATGAACTGTCTAATGATGGTGCTCACAAGCAGTTTGATCACTACCTCGAAGAGCTGATCCTACCCATCATGGTGGGCTGTGCCAAGAAGGGGGAGCGAGAGTGCCACATTGTTGTGCTGACAGATGAGGATTCTGTGGACTGGGATGAAGACCACCCCCCACCTATGGGGGAGGAATATTCTCAAAGTAGGGGCCCCCTACATGGTGTAGATGCTTTCAGCAAGAAACACGCTGCCCAGAGCAGCATTTAGATCTTAGAACCATCGTGACTAACACACTGACCTGGATGATAAGCCTCTAGTGATGCAGGTCTAACCTTATGCTGGGGAATCTAGTGAATATTATATCTCCCACCTCTACCCCTAACGTCTCATACTCCATCAGATATCGAGGTAGCACATTAGATGGTAGTTTCATTCTTTTCTTCGTTTCTTTTCATTTTTAAATCTTTTTGAATTGGTAATAATACAAAATTCAAGAATTACAAAAGGATGTACATTTGAAAAGTCTTGTTCCCACCCCTGCCCCATCCACCTAGTTTTCCTCCTCAGTTTCTTTTACATCCTTCCAGGTATACTCAGTGTACCTACATAAGCGATTACATACATGATTTTTCCCTTTTTTCAGTGATACTGTATTATACACACTGTCCATATCATGTCTTACATTTAAAAAAAAAAAATTTTTTTTTTATGGCTGCATAGTATTCCATTTCATTAATGTGCCATAACTGATTTAACCAGTCCCCTGTTGAGGTGAAGAGCTACCGCTGCTAACCAAAAGGTTGGCAGTTCAAATCCACCAGGCGCTGCTTAGAAACGGATGGGGCAGTTCTACTCTGTCCTATAGGGTCACCATGAGTCGGAATCGACTTGATGGCAATAGGTTTAGTTTGTTTTTGGTTTTTGCTGATGGACATTTAAGCTATGTGCAGTCTTTTGCCATTTATGTGATGCTGCACTGAATATCCTTTTATATAGTCTTCTCACACATGTATCTCTCTATAAATAATATTCCTGAAAATGGAATTTGTGTCAAAAGCTTTGTGCTTTTATAATTTTGATAGATGTTATCAAACTGTCCTCCACAAAAGTTGTACTAATTTACATTCACAAAATAATATCTGACAGGATTGTTTCCCATACCTTCACCAACAGTGTTACTAAACTTTTCTCTTTGCCAGTCTGATAGGTAAAAACAGCATCTCATTGAGTTTTAATTTGCATTTTTCATTTCATGATTGAGGGTGAACATTTTTAATTTTTAAGAGCCATTTTCTTTTCCTGTTAGCTGTATTTGTATCTTTTGCCCATTACAGAATTGAATTGTTTTTTACTTACTGATTTTTGAAAGCTATTTGTGGCAGCTCTCTGTATATATTAAGGAAATTAGCTTTGTAATATGAGTTGTAGCTGTTTTTCTAGTTGGTTATTTTTTTAGTTTTGCTAACAGTCATTTGGGCTGTGCAGAAATGTTGCATTTTTATGTGGTGAACCATATTTCTTTCATGGCTTCTAGATTTTATGTTATATGCAGAAAGGCCTTCCCCACCCTGATACTATAAAAACTCCTCTCATTTCTTTTAGTATTCTTATGGTTCATTAATTTATTTAACACTTAATCTTTGATTCATCTGGATTTTTTGGCATCTGGGTCAGGTATACCTTTCATTAGTCTGAATCAATGAGCTCTTCTACTTATGGAACTCATCGTGACTAACCTCCTTTTTTTTTCCTCCTAGTTCTTTATAGCTCCAAGCTCTACAGATTCTTCAAATACATTGAGAATCGGGATGTTGCAAAAACAGTGTTGAAGGAACGGGGCCTAAAAAACATTCGCATTGGAATTGAAGGTAAAAAAAAAAATCCCAGTTAGTATTGCAGTTGCATGCTTATGGAGTAGGGTAGGTCCTATGGCCACAACCTGTGTCCTCAAAATTCAGTTTCCAGAGGGCCTAGGAAATAGGCACATGTGAAAAGTACTTTCCTATTTATGTTTGAAGGATTTGTTTGCCCTCATGCTTCCTTTTTATTTTCAGTTGAAAATACATTAAAACAGCCCAGGAACAGGTTTCTGTTTGCCACCTGAGGATAAAGAGCAGTGAGGGCAAGGGCACTAGTGGGTAAATATAGCAGGCTTGTGGGCTCACCATGTGAGAGGACTATTCTGCCAGCAATCTTGGTGAGGATGTTTCTGAGATCTGAATGAGTCCTTCTGAAAATTGTAGGTTGAGAACTCAAAATTTAAGTCATTATTCCACTATATACCTTTGAGGAATATCTGGATATATTTACAAAACTACTTTAAATCATCTTGAGCAGTGACTCCCAACCTGTGGTCCCCAGGCTCATAGAAGGGTCTCAGAGACTGATTCTCACAGGGTGCTGAAGCCACCTTGATCCCTCTCCTCTCACTCCCCATCGTGTCTTTGACTCCTGCGCTTTGCCACTCTTGCTGCCTCACTCTTGCCCACAGAACTCATCAGACCTTCATTGTGTCTGACTTAGGTTGGAATTTTAAAGCTGGAGGAGATTCAAAAATCATCCATTTAAGAACCTTCCACTGTGTCCTTCACTTGTCTCCTGGGAAACCCCAGGAACAGGTTGATAGGGATCCCCCATTTCCCAGGGCAGATCATAAAAGTGTTTTGCCCTTAGAACATTCTTCCAAACATCTCATAGATAACTGCCTCCCTTTTCTGCCTTTCTAGTTCTAGTCTATTAAGCTACTCTAAGATTTCTTCCTTTTCCTTGTCACAGCCTTTCAGATTTTTCAGCAGTATCCTTTTTTTTTAGGCTAAACATTCCATGTTTCCTTAACTGTTTGTTCCTCACACACTGTGCCCTCTAACCCATTCCACTGAGTGAGCAGACTCATAGAGACCCTCTAGACAACACAATTAAGAGTGGCATAGCCGTGCCCTGGTAGGATTTTTGTTCTGTGGTATTGTTGCCAGTAACGAAAGACTCCTGAAATGACTAAGAGGCTTCTCTCCCCCTTCCATTAGAGGGATAGAATTCTTGTTACTTCCCTTGGATTAATTAACTCCTTCTAGGGACAAGACATATATTAGCCTTAGCAGGAGGGAAGTAAGCATGTAGGTACTCGGAGCTGGGAGGGCAGGGATCAGTAACTGGTTGGCTTCCCAAGTAGTTTTCATGTGAAGTTTTGGGGTTTGGGAGGAAACTGATGTCATTAGGAAAGAGAAAGCTGTGGGCACCAGAGTGAGCAATTTTCCAGTCATGAGGACCAGCCTTTTTCACTGTTCCAGGTTATCCTACCTGTAAAGAAAAGATTAAGAGAAGACCTGGTGGCCGGTCTGAAGTAATCTATAATTATGTGCAGCGCCCCTTTATCCAGATGTCATGGGAAAAGGAAGAAGGAAAGAGTCGCCATGTGGATTTCCAGTGTGTTCGAAGCAAATCCCTCACTAATTTGGTAGCTGCTGGAGAGGACGTCTTGGAGGACCAGGAGATACTAATGCACCACCCTCCCCAAGTGGATGAACTTGATCGGCTGAATGCCCCACTTTCTCAGATGGCTTCTAATGACTTTCAGGATTAGGGCCGGCTGTGGGTCCACTCTTTCCTGGAGTTTTTCTCCGTCCGGGATGCCCACACCCAGTCCTCCCCATGGTTTGTCTCACTCTGAGTAGGGGACATGTTTCTCCCCCATCCTTTCCCTTTCTCCCATAATTAATGTGTGTTCTTTTCTGTAAGTTCATTCCTCCAGCAGGAGGTGAAAAAACACTGGTAATGAAGCTACCAGCTTTGCAGCAGCCCTGGGAACTTGAAAAATTTGGGTCTGGTGCTGTTCACTGAGTCTTTGCATAACTGCAAAAGCAGGAAAGGAAGGCTCCTGTTGCCTCGTAGTCAGCAAAGCAATCCTCATCCTTTACACTCAGTTCTTGATTTTTGTTTTTTGGTTTCATACCAAGCAGATCACTCATTAGCAAAGGGACCAAACTTAAAAGGAGACAATCTCTGTCTCCTGAAAGCAGGCATTGATGGGGTGGTCATTAGAGGTTGATGAAGCCGCCATTCCTGGTGGTCCCTGCACCCAGATTGTATCTGGGAAGCAAGGCACTCGTTCAGAATGTCCAAAAGGAAATTCTTAAGAGTTTAAATTCAGTTTTGTTTTTCATTAATGCAATGAACAATCCAAACCACATAAGCAGATTCTTTGGCAGGAAGGGTGATGGCATAACAGTGCTTATAAAACTTTTTGAGCTTCAAGGTTTTTGAGCCTAAACAGATAATTCATTTGGAATGAAACTCGCAACTCAAGTAGAAGAACCTTTCCAAATCAAGCTACTTTGATTATCCTGGCTTGGAATCTAGCATGAAGCCATCGGTCTTGGGCCCTGTGCGGCACAATGCTGTGGGTGTGACTGGGAGACCTTAGATTTGGTTTAAAGGCGTTTAGTTTGTGGGCAGAAATGTCTCACAGGTACTCAATGGAAAGACAAGAGCTCAACGGAGGGGGCACCCCAGTGAAGCTGGGTGTGGAAATGTCACCTGCACAGGCTCTGTCCCAGTGTGGAGATTTTTCTTTGGATATTCTCTTCATACTGTCAAATTTTTTTGGACACTAATACGTTTCAGTTTTTCAAATAGCCTGTCAGCTGTTTACACACTAAGAAAACAGTACCAATGTCATCCTTCAGAGGAAAGGTGAATTGAAGGGAAATTAGGCCTAAGTAATTCTGATCTGTCTGCTCTGTTAACAGCGCACGGTATAAGACCCTGGACTGCTCTCGCCAATCCCCACAGTATTGAGCCACCTTCCTATAGAGCTGGGCAGCACCCTGTATGGGTATGGTGGCAGGTGAATGCCTTCATAGTCTAGAAACTGAACAGTCCAAAGCCAGCTGTGTCTTGAGGTTATTTCCCATTTTGTGGTATAAGTTGGCCTCCCAGTCACCCATCCAGGGCATTTACTCACCAGAGATTATGAAGAGGCATAGTTTTCTTCAGGGTCTTTAATATGTAAGAGCATGACTTTGGTTTTCTTATATTCCATTTCTGTAAGACACTATGGGGCAAACTACTTGATTCCACTTTATGACTTCCCTAGTTATGGTTCTCCAAACATAAAGTCAGGATACTCTTTCCAGGCTTGAACAGACATTTCTTAAGAAATGGGTTCTCTGTGCATATGGCCAGCATTACAGTGGAAATCAAGGCTCTGTTCCTTACTCAGAAAGGGAAATGGGGATTAAAGTGAGCCATCCCACGCCTACAGAGGTCTTCTGATAACCATTGACTTCCATTTGCAAGGCTGATGGCTGGGTTAAGGGGGTAACTTGTAGCCAGGGGGTAGTTTTTGTACGTGAAACTGCTTGGCTCATATTTGAGTTTAGGTTTGGCGTTGACCTTACCAGCACCACATTCATACCAACTAGCAGCTGACCAGCCCAATAAGTGTTTAATGGTGCTTCCTTTACCCTTCTCGGTGGACTTCCATGCCATTGCAAAGGAATTATCTAATGTTTATGTATTTTATGACTTTCATCATGTTTTTTGATGTAACTTCTCCTCCATATAAAGCTTATGTGTTAACATTAAGTGTAAACACTCCACCGCTAACACTCTCATTAACCCTTTTATCGGTAAAAAGCCAGCTATGAAAGTATGGCGTGTACCTGACACCTTGTTCTATGTAAATGATTTTCTCAGGCTTTCGAGAACTAGGTCTTTTTTCCCTAGTTTGGGTTAACATGCTCTTGGCCCCAACCCGGGGTAGGGCTGAGTGAGCTGGAAATCTGTGGAACTAAATCTCTGCCAGTGTCACCTGGGTGCGAGTGACTTAGGGGGAACCCTGCCCCCCAGCCAGGAGCCCAGCATCACTGAAGTTGGATGGCTCCACTCAGCCAGGGCATTTGGCAATGGCAGGACTTCTCAGTCCTCGTGGACAAGGGCTGGCTGGGCTGTGGTCATCCCCTTCAGTTACTGGCCAGGTGAGCAAGAGCAGCTTTCATAATTTAAAAAAAAAAAAAGGTGGAAGTCAGGTTTGGTGTTTTTCCTAAGTGCCTAAATAAGTAAGGCAGGCTGTTTATACAGAAACATTTTCTTAAGAAAATGGTTTTACCCAGAATATCTTACTCGGGCATCTCAGCAAGCCAAGATGAACCTGAATTTGAGGTTTAGAATCTGAGTTTGTGTTTATCATATCATGTATACTTGATTAGGAAACATTTGCCTTTGAGGAGCTGGGGAGAGGGCAGGGAGACAGTGTTGAATGTGTCAGGTTATTTTATGGTGTCTCCAAAGGGGAGAAAAGGTACTGAAAGAATGGCAGCAAAAAGAGTAAGGAAGATAGAAAGCTGGATTTACTGTACAATATGCAACAGCCAATATTATTTTAAACTAAATTCCAAGAGAACAGTGTGATAATTAGTGTATACAGGTCTGTGAAGTTACTGTGGAGTAACCCTGGGAAAGGTGGGTGTACTTGCAAATAGTGTTCCAGAGTTGTTCTTTAAATAAAAAATATTTTATCCAGCACACAGGCTTAGGAAGTTCTGTTTTGCAATCAAGTGTCAGTAGAAAAAATCAAGAGGTGTTATTTGTTCAATGCCACTTCTTGCTGTCATTTTGAAATTAACATGAGCGTAGTGGACCCAGAAAGCAAACCTGATGCCTTCCTGAAAGATAGAGCCACATCTGTGCCCTTGTGGGATCGCCTCTTCAGGAGAACATTACATTTTCTCTTAAAGGCAAAATACCTGTAGGTTTTGCCTTTTACTTTGTATTTACTTTTAAAATTGCACTTGTTCACCTACCAGTGTTTACAAAATCCTATTATTTGGGATGCTTTTTCTATAATTAAAGTATTATCATTTGTGTGTCTGTACTGTTTTTTAGCAGAAAATCAGAAGATGTTAAAAGGGACTTAAAGAGGTGGTATCCAGACTGCCCGGGACAGAGGCTCTGCCTTCTAGGGGGACACAGGGCTCGCCTTGAGCCTGCATGTGCTTTTCCTACCCTAGTACTTTGACAGGTACCAGAGCCCTTTATGGTCAGCCTTCTCTCTAGTTCTTGGTTAACTAGCATTCAAGACTCCTTGAATGCCCGTGGTTCCTCAAATCCAACTAAACAGAACTCCACACAGCCAAATGTAAATTCAGAAGGGAAGGGGAGCCGTGAACACCTAGTTGTGGTTTGAAGCAAGTGAGGAATAGCAGGAAAGAAAGGCAAGTAAAAGGATAAGGTGGAGTCCTGGCATGCACCTAGGAAACACTGGGAGAGCCTCTTGCTCATTCCTCGGTCTCCACTATTTTGCTCCCCTCCAGTCTGCTGGGCTCCCTCAGTGCGCTTAGCCTGGGAGCTTACTGGTGACACTGACAACCTCAAGGGGTGTTAAAGCAAGCCTGCACCTCCCAAGCAGGCCTTTATCAAACAGACAGCACAAGGGTTAAGAACAACATATCCTGAAGACATATGGCCTGTATTGAGTATTTTGTGTGAAGCATTGCTTGGCCACAGGGATATGCTGACAGTTCTTCCCTCAAGGGGCTTTTACAATCACATGGAGCACACAGACCTATAACAGTCTGGGTCACTCAGGAAGCCCAAAAGGATGAATAACCAGTTTGCTGTGAGGAGTAGAAGAGAGTTCGTTCACAAAAGGCTCCCAGAAGTTGTGCACGAGCCAAATTGTGAAGGACAAGTACTAGGTGGTTTGGATCCATGGCTATGAGGGGAGGAGATATTCCAGGCAGACTATATGAGCAGTGAGGCAAAAGTGAAATGATCGCTTATGGTCACCAGGGAAGAGGATGGGGTGATGCAGAGATGAGGCCAGGCCAGAGTAACGAAGGACTCTTGTAGCTCAGACACAGGTGTTTGGACTTGTACTGTGTAAACTGCTGGGAGCCCTAAAGGGGAACGACATGATCAGACTTGAAATTTCAAAGAATTTCTTGGCAGCAGTAAGGAGGACAAGCTTAAAAGGGGAAAAAGACTAGGAGGTCAGCTAACAGACCACTGCAACGGACTCAGCAAGGAATGATGAAGGCACTGGTAGAAAGGATGGCCGTGCCCTGGAGTTTGATGGTATGTGTTTACTGATGGCTCCCGTTTAAGAAGACTAAGGTTTCTGGCTCGGACGGCTGGGCAGAATGAGTTAGAAAAAGGCTTTGGGGTCAAGAGGAGTTCCATTTGGACTTTAGGCCTATAGGAGGCCTTGTCCAGATGGCAATTTCTAGTAGGCACTTGGCTGTATGTAATCTAGAATTCTTGGGGGGGTGGGGGTGGATTTGAGGTTGGTCAGAGGGACTTTGAAGACCTCAACACAGAAGTGGTAGCTGAAGCCACCAAGAGATCACGAGTGAAAAGAGAGCTCTGAGGAGCACTAGCATTTAGGTGGTGGGCAAAAGAATCAAGAAGGAAGTCAGAGAGGTGGTATACACTGTTGGTGGGAATGTAGAATGGTACAACCACTTTGGAAATTGATTTGGCACTTCCTTAAAAAGCTAGAAATAGAAGTACCATATGATCCAGCTATCCTGCCCTTGGAATATATCCTAGAGAAATAAGAGCCATCACACGAATAGATACATGTACACCCATGTTCACTGCAGCACTGTTCACAACAGCAAAAAGATGGGAACATCCTAGATGCCCATCAACGGACAAATGGATAAACAAATTATGGTATATCCACACAATGGAATACTACACAATGATAAAGAACAACGATGAAGCCATGAAACATAACATGGAGGAAGCTGGAGGGCATTATGTATAAGACCACTATTATAAGAACTCAAGAGAAGGTTTAAACACAGAAGAAAACATTCTTTGATGGTTATGAGGGTGGGGAGGGAG